TCTCATCTACAACGACTTCCTGTGAGCTGCAGATGTGGCGTTGATGGTAACTGACTTTATAGATTTATGTTTAACTATTTTACCCGCGGTGTCTGCAAACAGAACATACTTTTTTTTCGAAAAGAAATTGTGATTGATCAAAATAAGGAAAGAAAACTGCAGTTCATAACATAATAATGCCTGCACTATATATTTTGAAAAGCTAGTTGTTCAAGCATGCACATGACTTACTGGGAACCCTATATGCAACAGAGCTGTAATTACGTTGGCTACAACTGTGCGCTTCCTTGTGCAGTATAAGTCAAAATGCCTGCAAGCAGGAGGGCTGCAGTTTATAGAAGACATCAAATAAAGAATGTCTTGAATGTCTTGGTTTCCATAGTCTTGGTTTTAAAAAGGTTTTACAGGTGAGCCAGACAAAGTTACATTACCAGGTTGGAAGGATTAATTTTAAATTTGTGATACTCTGAATATCCAAGTCATGTGTGTTTAGCCACTATCCCACCTCTTTAGGAGATTGGGAAAACAGTACACACAACTGAAGTGAAAAGTCCTTCATTTTGGTACCTGTCTCTGTTTCATCAACCAATTGATTACGAGATCTGGCCACACAGAATTCTCATGAATCCGATGAAAAATAAAAATATAGCAGATATTGAAAGAGGAATACTCTGATTTTTAGAATAAACCAGGCAAAATAATGTTCTTTGTTGCTTCAACACCAACCTACTTGATCCAAGACACCCTGATAGTGCAGTGAAGGTTAACTTGTGCTGGTGAGCTTTTTTACTGTAGTGTTTTGTTGTACATTTTTAGGGAAGAAATGTATTCTGAGTAAGAAGTATTGGATGTTTGTGCAGAGAAAAACAGCTGACTCTCTCCCATCACCTATAGTGCAACACATATATGAATATATTTAGATTTTTATATTGACAGATACTTCCTTTTTTGCTGTAAATCCCTCATTTAGGTGAGGAAGAAAGTGATGTTAACATGCCAAGTTTCAGTAAACTAAAAGTTATTGCTCAATACACTGTCCCACACCTGAGCGTGTTCAAAGAAAACAAATCTGAGAAACTATTTGGGAAATATGTTCCTTCTTTGAAAAACCATCCATATAGTCTCTGTTTGGTATATAAACTGTGTGAGTAAGCTGTCACACTCATGTAAGTGCAGGGTCCTCTTGGTGATAAGTATTGATGTTTTTTTTTTTTTTTGCTGCTGAGCTATTTTTAAGTGTTAGCGGTGGCTTCAGCACATTCATCTGTGGGCAGTCAAGTCGTGTTTGAATGTTGCTTTTCAAGTCACAGTCTTACATCCCTTTATGTCTGAGCCCAGTGGGCCATGTTACAGCAGGTCTGGAGGTACATCCCTTTATGTCTGAGCCCAGTGGGCCGTGTTACAGCAGGTCTGGAGGTACATCCCTTTATGTCTGAGCCCAGTGGGCCGTGTTACGGCAGGTGTGTGAAGGTGTGTGAACACAGAAGGGGTGCAGAGCTATGGGTGGTCGAGGAACCCGACCCATGTGACGCTCTACTCCCACTGCTTCTGGTGCACGCTCTCATGGCATCATGGTCCATTTGATGGAAAATATGACAGATTCAGAAAATGTTTGTTTTCCACCAGGTGAGAGAGCTTCTCATTACTGCTAATTATAGGTGAAGATGATGCTTTAAAGGAACACCTGGGTAATGTGTGCACATTGCACTGCTGTGCTCAAACTGTTACAAAACTGTTAGCATCCTGTTATCAATGTGACAAAACAAGGGAAATTCACACCCTAAGCATTATTTTAAAATGAATTTGTCAAATTAATTTTAACATATATAGTTATATAAGTATGCAGATGTATGGCACCATTGAATGATCATTTTAAATAATTTGAATCATGTAAACTTGTCCCTATAGTAATTTTTCCTTTCTGTGTTCTTTTCTTGTCTTCTGATAATGTTACATTTTGCTTTTAATATTATACGGTTCAATTAAATATTTTTTTTATTTTGGCTCATGTCTGCAATTGTGAAAATGTTCTAGTTTGAATTTCTGGATTCTGAGTCTCTCGTTTCATTTACACATCAGCATTTTACTGTCATCCCATTAATATCTGGTGTCATTTTGCAGGTGTTTTTTAAAAACTCTGTATTAATGTCTCTATAAAGACGTAAAACTAAATAATGAAAGAATAAGTTTAAGACTATAGCGTTATTTTCCTGATTCTTATAATATGACGGCTAATCCAGCTCTTTCTCTTTTTCATTTGCTTTAATACATTTCATTTGAGTGTTTGTGAAGTTCAGTGAAGGGACACAACAGATTTGCAAAGTTATTCTTATTATTTAGCAACCATTCTTTTGATCAGGCTTTTTAAAGGCAATTTTGTTTTGCTTCCTTGTTTTGCGTGAAAGAAACTGCTGTGCTCACTCATTTTCCTGTACTGCACGCTGTGAAAACTACCTCGTGATTTTCACAATCAGTTGTTGTCTGTGATAGTGCGACGGCCTGCTGTGTGCAGGCTGTGGTATGATTTGTGTATCTTTAGGTTACTGTTAGCCCTGACACATGAAAACCTCAATACTCTCCCAACAATAATGCAATAAGGTCATTGGCCTCCTAAAACCCCTGTTTCCAAAACCAGATGTGTCCAGATGTTTGTTGTAACATTGCAACAATTGACACCTGAGAGTGTTTGCAAACCTCTCCGGTCACATCATCATCATCATCATGCTTCGCGTCTGTTTTCACTTGTGTGTTGGAATGTGACCTAAATAAACAAGCTCATAATCAGCGGAAGTCAGTCTCAGCCTATTTGAAGAAAAGTCCAAACATAGTATTCAGGAGTCATCAAAGTATATAATATATATAATATGTATATTAGAGTAATTGATAAGGAACTTCATAACTACCAATGATTATAATCTCACTGTCTGGCCTTTGGTTGGCCTTTGGTTGCCCTTTTGGTTGCGTAATATCCTTCGCCTTTTTTCTCCCGTCGGCAGTTTGGACCTGAAAGTAACTGTCGAATTAAACCACTTAAATCATTAGACTTTCATTCCCTTGCCAGGGTTTGCATCTTAAAAGTCTAATTCTAACTTGTTTGTTGCTCCACTCAACACCTTCCACAGCAGTCGTGTTGGACGAGGATAAGCCTGTGGACTCACTGAAGGGATAATGAATCATTAATAGTACTTTGGTCAGTTTTTTCAGCATCTTACCTGACTAAAGACTGAACCTTGATCCATCCTTTTTAAGAATATCAAGCAGGATGTTTAGTTCATGTTCTTAGATAGAAATTCCTTGTCGAGACAGAAAGAGTTAAACATTAACATTAGAGGAGTTTGTTTGTTGATGCCACAGTCATTTTAAAAGTGCTACTAAAATGGAATTCACCCATTTAAAGACATAGTCCTATGAAAGGAAAGACCAGATTTCATATCTCAAAGGCCACAGCAGCCTGAGAGTAGTCACAGTTTGATGTGGCGTAACTAGAAAAGTGTCACACAGCTGCACTTTTGGCTTCGACTTGCTGCATGAATTTGTGTTCCTGCCAGAAGGACCATTTCATTGGAGCAAATGTCATGCATGAAGAGGACAACAAAAAGCATTGACTGCCTGCATAAAAAGGTCTTTTTTATGTAAAAAAATATTAGATAATCTCGCTTTGCCCCAAGGACAGTCTGTCTGCAGTACAAGAGCATCATTGACTCGGTCAGCCCTGTGACTGTCTACTGACGCCAAACACACTTTTGAACAACAGGTTGACAAACATGTACCGATATGTCACATTATGAAGCTGCAGAATACTTGTGTAATACTTGTGCTATGTATGTCATACTCTTTATTGTTATTTTTGTGGGTTTTTTTTTTTTTCAAACCTTAAACCCCCTAAAAAGAAAACAAGAACAATGTGGTTGTTTCTTAATAACTTCCAACTCTGTTACTCCATCTGTGTCACTCAGTACTGATTTGAACTAGAGGGGAAAAAAAGCTTCAAAAACAGGTCAAAACTATTTGTTGCATCATGTAAAAATGTTTAAATCATCCTTTAAAAAAGCTGGGCACTGCAGTTTTCTAACAAACATTACTCAAATAGGAGTAAATAGCACACTATATTCAGGTATGGATGGATACACATGTTATGCTCTAGTGAGTATTTACAGCTGACAAACTGTGTGTGCAGGTTTGACTCAAAATAAACAACACTTTCTATGTTTACCTCAATAGGTAAACTTGTCTCCCAGTGCAACATTATGGCTCTTTAATGTGTTTCAAAAAGGTTTTCTTTTCAACAGAGCTGGCTTAGAGGGAAAAGTTCTATCAGGCTTTAGCGACACCGACAACACTTGTTACAGCAATTAGTTAATTTTCTTTCTTTTATTTTTGTTGTTGAAAGAACAGCTACAGAACATTGCCACCCTTGTACTTTAAAGCAACATTTATGATGCTAGTCAAAAAACATTTAACCTCCCCTTCATAACAATGTCATTTGAGCCTTGACTGAATGTATTATAATTATTTTCATATTTCCAAGGTAATAACTTGCACTAACCTTTTTATTGAACGCCATTAACAGGTCAAAAGTTGTCTTATAAACTGCTAATCGCTGAAGACATGTGCTAATATTCAAATGTCAGCATGCTATATAACACTGTGAATCTATACCTGTCAGCCTTGTCTTTTTTAGCATGTTAGCAATTAGCTTCGAGCTCCACTGTGCCAAAGCTGAGCCAAGCTGCTGGCATGGCTGAACACTCTTTATGATGAGAATATCATCCACATCAGAGCAGAATGAAATTTTTGCATGATCTCTGGAAGAAGAGGAGAACACGACACAGAGAGATGCCGTGTCATTGTATCATTACCCCACCAGCTGGCTTGAATTAGCATACCCACCTGATATGGTAATTTCCTGTCTGCAGCTCGTTTCTAGAGCAAGAGCTGTCAGGATGTTTTTGTACAGACTTGAGAAGTGATGCGCTACCCACCTTGAACCAGGCTTTTAATTATATTTTTGTTTTATTTGTTGTTTAGCTTTATGCCAGTATATAGAAGCTACTAAATTCAGAGATGGGGCCAGAGGAAATTTGGCAAATGAAGGTAACCCTCCGACCACACACACTCCAACCCCCTCTTAACCTGAGCTCAGCTTTAACCCTTCAGCCTTTAACCTAGCACTCTTTTTATTTGTTTTGTTATTTGTTTGTTTTTTACTCAACGGCCCTCTTATGTTCATTCAAATTCTCAGTTTTCACGGTTACTTTCTGCACAGGTGTGGGGACCTGTCCTTTCTGTTTTGAGCACTCTGATTTCTTCCCTCCTGGTTTGTGTTTTCCCCCCTGCCTCCCCCCCCCCTCCCTCAGCAGCAGCTGAATAATGAGCTGATGTTTGACAATCACCGCTTCTGTTTCTTTCTCACACACACATGAATCCAGTGCTGCCTGCGGCTGCCCTGGGACTGCTTGGTCAATGTTTACTCTCCCCCTTCACTCTGAATGACTTTTCAGTACTGCCTTGGTGTGTGCATCACTTCTGCCTTACTCTGGGTTCAAATCAACTCAATGTACGCTTCCTATGATTGGTCAGTTAATTTTGGGTGTTCATTTGTATTGCCATTAAAGCTGTCAGGAAGCATCACAACCCATAGTCTGTTGAATTTTCTTTTCTGACATGTATTTTGGGATGATGCTGCCCCTTTTTCAATATTGTCTTAATAAACTGTAAACAAAATGCAGATGACAGCTTTATATGATGCAATACAATCTTCATCTTAAGACAAATATGCTGACTTGCTTTTTTTCCTCTGGAGCTGCGCCTGGCATTTTCAACCTCCCTCTGATCAGACCATTCTTCTGTCTTCCTCTATGTACATCTGGAAACTCCTGCTAATTGTTTGTCTCTTTTTTTTTTTTTTTTTCCTCTTTCCTCTGTTTGTTTGTTTTCACTCTTAGGTGAGAATTTTGAGCAGAGTCCATTGCGGAGAACCTTTAAATCCAAGGTTCTAGCACATTTTCCAGAAAATGTCGAGTGGAATCCATTTGACCAGGATGCAGTGGGCATGGTATGATCTCCACGCAGTCGTTACTTTACTAATATCATAAGAACAATGATGGTTGATGGGAGTGTAATCTAAATAACAAAATTATGAAAAGTATTTTTTTTTATTGATTCAACAAATAAATGCAGAAGTACATGGATACATTTGATGAAAAAGCATTGCCTGTTATACGATATTAACAAGTTTAATGTGGCTTATTTTGTTTGTTTGCTGAGAACTCTGAAAGGACTAGTTCAACTTTTTTTAAATTGGCTTTTTGTCACATCAGAAAGCAAAAAGCTTTACATAAGTATGTAAATAATAATAATAGTGAATGTGAATAAAGTTGGAATTCAGGTTGTAGACAGTTAGCATAAAAAACACAAACTAAAAGCTAGCCTTTCTTTATGTAATTATCTTTAAATATATTGTTTTGGGAGATAAAAAAAACTACAAGGTGCAACTACTTTTTGATCTTGCCAACAAAGTGCAATAGTGCTATCTAAGCGAGACATAGTACCGTAGTTACTAAAAATACTCATTCTAAAACCTCAAATCTGTCGTTCAACACAAGCAAGTTTGTTTACTAACAAAATAGAAGTTGTAGTAAGTTTGACATTAAGATCGACTTCTAACTGAAGCAGGCTAGCAACTAACCCTTGTTTTCACTGTTTAAGATAAGCTTGGCTGATCCAGTTTAGACTCCAGCTCTGTACTAAGTTCACAGACACCAGAGTGGTATTGATCTCATCAATTTCTTAGTATCAGTGCAAATAAATCAATCTAAATAGTGTAAAAGCCCAGCTCTAAATAGTTTTAAATTGCTTTTTTTCCAAGCTAAAGACATGAATGCCCTCTCTTTCAAAATCCTCTGATACAGTTCCTTCCTGTTCTCTCACAGCTCTGTATGCCGAAAGGTCTGTCGTTCAGGACACAGGCCGACTCTCTGGAGCCTCAGTTCCACTCCTTCATCATCACCAGAGAGGACGGCTCGCGGACCTATGGCTTTGCCCTCACCTTCTTCGAGGAGGTGACCAGTAAGCAGATCTGCAGTGCTATGCAGACTCTTTACCACATGCACAACGCAGAGCAGTACGACATCTTACACACTCCAACCTCGCCAAAGGGACTAGAGGACCATCGACATCAACACTCCCAGCCCCGTCCCGTGCTCCACGCTGCGCCTGCCATCTCTCGCCTGCAGCGCTTCAACTCCTATGACATCAGTCGTGACACGCTGTACGTGTCAAAGTGTATCTGCCTAATAACACCCATGGCCTTCCCTCAGGCCTGCAGGAAGGTGCTGCAGCAGCTACACCAAGCTGTAACCTCCCCCCTGCCCCCACCCCTCCCGCTGGAGAGCTACATCTACAACATCCTCTATGAGGTGCCCATGCCACCCTCTGGACGGTCCCTTAAGTTCTCAGGCGTCTACGGGCCCGTGGTGTGCCAGAGGCCGAGCACATGTGAGCTGCCGCTCTTTGACTTTGCCATCAGTGAGATGTTTCACCTGCTGGGGGTGGAGAACGTTCTCCAGCTGTTCACGTGTGCCCTGCTCGAGATGCAGATACTGCTCTACTCGCAGCGTAAGTAACCTGTGTGCTACTGATAAACTCAATGTTCTCATGTTACTTTTAGCATCCTGTCCCATTAGGATGCATTGATTACAAGAATCTATGCTTTAAATCACAAATAGACAGCAAGTCAGACTTAAATTGATATCCTATACAAACGTATACATTTTTAAAGGAGCTGTAATTGAAATAACTATCTGTAACAGCTGTTTTTTGAGAATCATGGGGTAAAGTGATCCTGTTAGGAGACCACTCTCCAGAGATTTCTCTGGAGCTGGGAGACATATCTGTGTCATGACATAAGACTAGATAATGTCAGGGGAACTTCTACTTGTGTTTTTGCTTTCTTATACATTTTGGTTGGAAAATAATATTTTCAAGAAAATATCAGTACATTGAAGATATTAAGTAACAAACTTTGCCTGACTTATTTTTTTGTCCATTACCTATTTTTAGATGTAGAAACTTAAGAGAAAACCTCAGATGGTTGTTGATATGGTGCGTTAGATCAAAGATAGGTCATAAGATTAAGTAAGCAGGTGGTTCCTGCAGGCTAGTCTGAGGATATTTTAACTGCTTTTTAAAGATCCTTATGCTAACCCCTTAGAATTATACAAAGAGTTAGTCCTTTAAGAAGTATTTATTTAGATTATTTTTTAAAGTCCTGGCAATGTTTTTATTTCTTGGTACTATTAGAAAGCTTCACCAGAGAGTAAAAGAAACCCAAGAACTTGTTGAAGTCTTCAGTTTTGAAATTTCTTAAATGGTAAAATGTCGATGGAATTGAGCTTCTGTAGCTTTTTTCTAGTCTTCTGACTACTCAGAAGAGGCTGCTATGAAAGGTGAGCATTAGTATTAATTAATACACATTCACATGCTGCTGACGCAGCAGTTGGTGGTTTGGGGTTTAGGGTTCAGTGTCTTGCCCAAGGACACTTTGACATGTGACTGACTGCAGGAGCGGGGAATATAACCCCCAACCTCTACCACTGAGCCACAGCTGCCGCTGTTCTAATGATTTGACTGAAAAGGAAACATTTCTTGTTGTGTCACTGCTTCTCTCTCCTTCCATTATCCAGCTCTGTGGCCAGCTTCAGATATTTTAGGATTTAAAATGTCTGCATGGTTGTTGTGAGGACACAAAAACCAGCGCCGTGGGCTACGACACATGTTTGATATGCATGGTGGAAGTATTATCCAAAGGGATTACATAACCTGTTGAGTTTTCATTAAAGTGATACACTGGTAGTTGCAGGCTGTGTAAATGTTCAGACTCTCTCAGCTCAATAGGTATGTTGTTTTTGTATATTTGAGCTGCTCAGTTTAGCTTGTTTTTATGGTAGATTAAGTTTTTTTTTTTTTGTTCTGAGTTTCATCTGACTAACTGCAGAGAGCTTATAGTACTCATTTACTAGTAGTAGCTGCAATAAGGATCCAATCCTTTGCAGAACTGAATAGAATATAAGAGAAGGTGTTATTCATGTCTTTTTCACTATTTGTGATAATGTGTGTGTGAGGCTGCAGGGTCTGGTGTGGTGATTGGATCCATTACACTGGCAAGAGAAGGCAAATGGTTTACAAAACGCTAGGGGGCCGGGGGTAGAAGCTCTTAAGGGGGGGAAAGCTGGTGTTGCTAGGCAACTTGGAGACAGGGAGGATAGCAGTAATGCAGGGTGATTATTATTGGCTGGAAGTGACATCATGCCACCTTCTTTTTTTTTTCTCCTCCACATGAGGCTCATCACTGCAGAACGTGTGAAGGGTGTTGTGTTGTTTAGAGTTAAGCCCTGGCAATCTCTCACTGAGAAGAAACGAGCGATTGTTGGGAGAAGACGTTGCGCTCTTTAAAGCCCTCACACACACACACACACACACACACACACACACACACACACACACACACACACACACACACAGAAACACACAGGCTGAGGAGAGGGATGCTCTGAAAATAAGAAGATGACTATATAGGCAATGAGCTCAAAATAGCATGGAAATTAATTCCTCTGATAGAGATGTTTTTTAAATGCTCTGGTCAGTCTCTACTCCATGAAGACATCTCAAGAAAATATTTTCAAATACTGTCTGCTGATGCTGCTTCCCTCTTTCTCAAACAGGAAGTACATCTTGTGTCAATCATGTGTCAACAACTGTGACATGCTGCTATTAAGCCATTGTTGTTGATTTTGTTATTTCAAAGGCTGGAGACGGAATATTTGATGGATGAATGTAGAGGGAGACGAGGGTATGAAGGAAAGATCTGAAGGAGTTTCGAGTAACAAAAGCTTCTTTTAGCCGAAGAGATGCTTCATCTGAAATAAGGTTTAAGAGCACAAATTTAAAGCTGGATATCTGCCAGCAAGTTTCTGTGTGGCGGGGTCTTTCAGCCATAAAACAGCACATTATACTGCACATTTTTCATTTAAGTAAATCACTCACTCACTTTTATGATTCTAAAATGTGCTTTGGCTAATTTCCATTGTCAGCTATTTTCCAGAACATTAACCACATTTTACCACCTTTACTGATTTGTATCACTGATTATTTTGCTTAAGAGATTTTTAACATTTCTTTACAACAGGGAGAGATGTTTCTGCACTTCTCTTAAAGTATTGATACTAACATACCCAGGCAAGCTGGAATTAATAACAAAAAAAATAGCAAAAATATACAAAATCACACAGTCTACTACAAAACATCATTACCAAAATTAAAAAGTGATAAACTACCAGTACAGAGAGCAGGATTTAGCATTCACATAGTGAACGTTTTGGCAGCTAACGTGTTAAGGTTTGCAGTTTAAAAAAATATATATAAATAGAACGCTTGAGCTTGCTTTCAACATCATAGTTGATAGTGTTGTGTTTTTTACAACCACTAATACTGAAGACGCTAACAGCATTTACCTCTCTCATACTTTTTATCATTGAAGTGCAAAACAGACTTACCGGTATCTTCTGAACATTTTTGTGGGAAAAACATGTAATGAAATAAAGTCTTAATCATAGCTAAATATTTGTACATACTTAAAAATGTGTTAGGAGGAGAACACGTTAGACTAGTCTTTTAGATCAAACCTCTTAAACTAACTTGAAGTAATGTATACAAACTAAAGCTGTACAAACAACCACAGTACAGATTTAATCAAAAAATGTGTTCAGTCAGAATGGTGCTGAACTAAAGATCTAGGAAAGCTTCACGTCTTTTATTGTTCTATTTTTAGCTCTGTACTGAATATGTTTGCACTCTGTCTGTAGTTCAAGCATCACCTCAAGTCTCAAACTGCTACCTGTTCTCTGTGTGGGCATGCTCAAAATGTTCAAGCATCACATAGGCAGCAACAGTACTTGACTGTTGGAGTCTTGAGTTGAAGTGGTTTCTTTTTACGGTGGCTTTAAGAGCAGATGGGTGATGTTAGTATTCTTGTCCCCATCCTGGGAGAGGAAGCCTTGCTGAGAAGGGGGGATGGGGAGGGGGGGATGAGGGGCAGGGGTAGGAGTCTTCTCATGGATCGAGCAGGAGCAGCACATGACCAAATGAAGGAATGGTATTTATTTTGGCACCATATCAGGAGAGGCAGCGCCGCTGTCAAATGTACAGTTGGTGTCAATGGGATAGAGCAGGAGGAGGGCAGGACACATATTTGCATGTATACATGTTGACTTGAGTGTGAACATAGAAGGAGTGTTTCTATGTGGAGTCATGGCAAAGGAATGTAGCGTTAGCCAGAGGGCCAGCTGACTGCAGCTGTGTCAAAGTTCAGGGTCCGGCTCCTTCAGAAGATGTAGGTCACAAAGGTCCTACAGAGGATGTGTGTGTGTGTGTGTGTGTGTGTGTGTGTGTGTGTGTGTGTGTGTTTAGGTATGTAAGGGCCTCAAATATTGTAAAACAAATCACCAATACAGTACTATTAAATGGCCCACAAAATGTAACACTAGTGACGTCGCCTTCAAAAGTAAATCAGCCCATGATGCATAAGACGATCTGAAGACTGCAAAAGTAAAAAAGGACAGTTTTCTTATCCAATTTAAGATGTTTTCTTTTTATTTTCCGTTTTTATCTATATAGTACAGGTCACATGAGCATGTTATTATTATTATTAAATACTTTATGTTTGGTATCAGTTAATAAAAAACCCTGAGACAAGAGCAGCTTCACTTCCTCTGTTTCTCTCAGGTTTTTAGAGATGAAGTGTTTACACAGGAGTAATGGGAAGTGTGTCGGGGACAGACTTTAGAGAAGAAAACACAAAAATTAACGAGTTTTTCTAAAGATAAGGCAGCAGCACAGGGTCCCTTGTCGTTTCGCTCCACTAGATCTGTCTTTAGGGGCCTTGCATATTTGACCCACTTGAGTTTTTACGAACACATACCTCTGAAGACACAAACAAAACGTGTCCCTTATTACCATAACATAAACATCCTTTACTGTATTTACTGGGTTCAAATAGCAACCAGCACCTGTTTTGATTTATCTTTCATACATTTATGGACGTGTTATCCCTCGATTTGAACAGAGATAGGTTTTTCATCACAGCTTATTCCTTTGTGAGTTGGTCACTGGTGCAACAACTCCACTCCTACATTTACAAAACAACAACCAGAGAGACAAGTTAACGCTGTTGTAGCAGGGTTTGGTGTTTTCTTTTGTCTTTTCAAGTTATTCCACTTTGTCTCCTTCTGGTTCACCTGAATAAAAAAAAACAGGTGCAAGCAAAACAGGTGTTGCTTGCTAACAAAGCTAATTTATTTTTGGATGAACCTGTAGAGTTACTCTCCTGTTTCTGAGGCAGGGTTGGCTGTCATGCTAACAAACATAGGAGCTGATCTATTAACAGTGTATTCAAAATGACGTGACAAGATAACATTGAGTGATTTCATATGCTGCTGTTTACTAGCCCACGTGTTTATGAACAATATCACCAACATAACGTGTTGTAGTCAGGAACCTTTAGGAGGAAAAGTTATGTTGAAGGAGTGTGGCTGTCTCTCTTTAAATGAAAAAACATCTATTTTAAGATTAAGATAAAATACTAATCGTTCTCTTGTCTTGTGCAGTACATTTTGCATTTCTTACCCAAAGCAGAATTATAATCTTTCATCACTGTTTACCTTGTTTTCATTTGTTTGTGAAACAGATTACCAGAGGCTGATGACGGTGGCAGAGAGCATCACAGCCTTAATGTTCCCCTACCAGTGGCAGCATGTGTATGTTCCTATTCTGCCCGCCTCCCTCCTCCACTTCCTGGACGCTCCTGTGCCGTATCTCATGGGCCTCCACTCCAACGGACAAGATGACCGTACCAAGTTAGAGCTGCCCCAGGAGGTACAAATACCAAAAGACTAGCTTCCTGGAATGACTTTCTCCTCATGATTTATTTGGATATTGAGCAGTGATGATTTTGCTTAACTGTCCCATTTCTAAAACAGTCAAACAACCTTCTCCCTCTCTCATTGTCATTGACATATGTTACTTTCTTTGTCTGTGCAAAAACATTTTTTGGATATGTGTATTTAGATTTCAGGGATTAAGTTCCTCCGTTTGTTGAATTGTCTTTGAGCTCAGAAACACAAACACAAGTTGTATCTCTGCCAGGCAGGTTTATTTTGTAAAACTGCTGATGTAAGGTCTTCCTGTACTACTGAAACATAACACAGAGGAACATTTTTCCTCATTCCTTTCAATGCTGCATTTTTTAGCTTCTTTGAATGGCTTCGTTACTCGTAAAATTTTAACCAGCAAAGCATCTTAACTGTAAAGCTGTGTGTTAAAGTCAGCTGTTTGTTAGAAGGGTTGATGTGGTGTCAGACATGGCGGGTAGTGTTAATCTTAAGGGCCTTTTAAAATAGACTTTGTTGGCTTTGTCATCGTGAATTAAGAACTTGTTCGACTTGTTAGCAGTTAGCCTTACAAATAGAACTAATAATGTTAAGCTTTTCATATACTTCTGTTTGTATGCATCATTTTCTTATCCTCTGTCATATTTCAGGCCAACCTGTGTTTTGTGGACATCGACAACCACTTCATTGAACTGCCAGAGGAGTTGCCCCAGTTTCCCAACAAACTGGAGTTCATTCAGGAGATCTCCGAGGTGCTCATGTCCTTTGGTGTTTCTCCAGAGGGAAATATTCACTCCAACGACAGCCAGGCAAAATACCGCTTCAGATCGGTTGATATGGTCTCTGATAAACGTAACGGCAACCTGGCCTCGCCCCTCAACTCCTACCTGCTAAGGGAGAACGAAACTATCGCCAGACTGCAAGCGCTGGTCAAGAGGACAGGGGTCAGCCTGGAGAAGGTGAGGAAAGAAGTGTTGAATTTGTTGAAAAATGATATATTAAGGGTACTGGTTTGGCTCTGTTGGTTGAGCAGTCGCTCACTATCCCCCACTCTTAACCCCCATATTTCATGTCTGTCTTTAGCTGTCCTATCAAATAAAGGCAAACAAAAGCAACCCCCAAAATAATCTTAAAAAATGATATATCAAAGAAAACACATCATATCACCGGCACTTTAAACAATATCAAGTAAATCTGTCAGTAGCCCAAAAAAACATTTTTGATAACTTCAGCGCAAAGTTAGATTCTTATTGACTTAGATGTGCCTGGAAATCAACCATGACTCTGAGATTTCAATATTTGTGATCAGCAATTGGCACCAAAGTAAATACATTTTCACCCAAAATCAACAACATTTTGAAAGCTTTGAAAGAATGTTGATTGTTATTTTCTAAATAACTGGAGGATCTAAAATTTCTTCTCCTTTAGTCTAGAGGTCTCTCTTGCCTCATCTCGTAGAGTTGTATTACCTAGATTTGATTCAGTTTTGTATCTGTGCAAATAGATAAGATTCTGTACATGAAAGCTTAAAATGGCACATTTGCTGAAAAATGGATGGAATAGAAACCTCTATCAACTACATAAACTGAAAAACATGCATGTTTATTATTCTATCTGTAAGTATTAACATCATTATTGTAATAGGGGACAATGAACAAAAGGGGGCGCTCTTTCTGTGCCACACTCTAACTCGATAGAGCTTTTGTCAGATCAAAGAGGAAACTGTGTTCTTTCATCAGAAATGTTTTTTTCTAAAATTGTGAAAAAACATTCTAATAAATAAAAATGTTAAGTTATTTAATAATGTGACATTTTACCATATTTGGAGTAAATATGTCAGAGTTGTTGGTCCTATTTGTGTTTTTTACCATAATGTTAATGAACAGCTGCCACTACATCACTGTTGTGAAGATGTTTTACTTCATCAGTTCAAAATTCACCTCCAGACTTTTGAAAAGGTGCTGGTTGATGTTTACAGCGTAGATGAAAGAAAGCTCTTACAGATACTCACTTCACTAGATATAGTCGCTCACAAGAGTGTCTCAATAACAGTGATAATAGCATGATGAAAACACGATCTAATGCCTGAGAGACGCACTAATTAGCTGCTAATTAGGAACGTCTCTGTGAATGTGTTGTAATCAGCTTTTATGCTATTGGGCAGCATTATCTTTTCAAGAAAGGATTAGCTCATCGTCTGTGTACAGCTTTCCAGCTCTGAGGTCTGACCTCACTATAGCGCTTTTTCTTATCTCGACTCACTGCTGTTACAGTTTACAGTAGAACTTTCACAATCATCCAGTGCAGGGCCTGCTCTGTGTTATTTTAGCCCCCCTTAGTTCTGGCATCTGTCCAGTCGACCTACTGACATGCTAAAAAAGAAACCGTGTTTCAGTTTGCTTTGGGTCTTAAGTCAAGCCGATGTCCTTGACTTCCTTTCCCATAACCCCCCTGCTCAGTGATAACCAGCAGATAAGATCAAATAAATGCCCTCCTCAGTTCCTTTTCTTCGTCTCACAAGCTTTTCTGTTTTTTCCTCCTGTCCTTACTTGTATCTCTTCCCTGTGTTTGGGTGTTTGTTACTGAGCACCAGCTGGAGGTGAGAGAGGACGCCAGCAGCAATAAAGACGCACGGTTTCAATGTGATGAGGAGGAGCTAAAGATGCACCAGGCCAACATCCAGGTGCGTGAGGTCTTCGCCAACAGATTCACCCAGATGTTCGCGGATTACGAGGTGTTTGTCATCCAGCCAAACCAGGACAAAGAGTCCTGGTTCACCAATCGAGACCAGATGCAGAACTTTGACAAGGTAAAGAGCTACAGAAAGATTGTT